AAAAAGTCCCTACTAAGTTAAGCATTATATTGTTTTATATTACAGGCACAGAATTATTAGAAAGTCTCTTTTAGGTTTGGTTTTGGGTTTTTTTTTATTCCCTGTGGTAAAAACAATGTTGCAAAAGCTGGCAGATGCTGAAGCAACACCAGAACAGCAAGGAGCAGTGTAGGTCTGTGCCCTGCCTATGCTCAGTGAGAGTTAAATGATGTCATTTATATAGAAAGTGCTGTTGGGTTTCAGATGGATCAGTGCAATTTGCATAAAGCAAACTTAAGCAAGACACAAAGATTTGAATTCAACTAAAATACATCTTACTGTAGACATTATCAAGATAATCTTCCTTGAAGTTTTTATTGTCTAATGCCCAAAAAAGCAAAACAGGAGAGTAGCCCGTGATAAATTGACACTACAGCAATCCTGACATTGTGTCTCGGGGTTAAGCTGCTGTGACTTAGCCTGTCAATGTTTCATGACTTTGAAAAGCAGCTTTCCTACTGGGGTTCTCCTGGCACGCATTTGTCTGCATTCCAGCTCTTGCTGTCATCAAATCAAGCATTTTTGTCAGGCTGTACCTTGTAACTACACTGATTATGATTTTGACATTTGCATCACTCTTTTTTTTCCAGACCTGTTTAGCAGCAGAGCTATTTTCAGGGCAATCTGTATTTGCAAAATAGGATGAAATTATGGAACAGGGGAACAGTTATAATGCTGTTCATTCAATAACCACAGAAGTACACCTGACACAAGTGTTACTATCGGTGCTTTTCCTCCAGTTCGGTAAGGGCTGAAAAAAAAAGAGCTGGAATATTTTGAGGAGTGGTTATTTTCTAGTCCTATCTGCTAGCAGACCTCAAATTACATCTCTAAGGTCATCCCAGGCCTACTGTTTTCAGGGCAGCCTGCCGACTTGGGAGTCTCTTTGGGAACCTTAGGAAGTCTCTTTGAGTTTAAGTAAGGACTTTCACTTCTTCATGCTGACACTCGTTAAGTCTGAACTATGTTTTTGCCTCCATCAAGTATGGCCTGGTGAGTCTGACCCAGCCTTGCTGGGCATTTTTGTATTTCTCCCGTTGAGGCCAGGGGACAGGTGTGACCCCATTTTCCTCCCCGTCCTTATTCCTGGTTGAGGGGATAAAAACACGGCCGGAGGTTGCCACCTGCCTCCCCAGGTGGTGGGGACAGATCTGGAGAGAGGTTCCCTCTCCCTGCTCCGGGGTCTGGCAGTGCCGTTGCTAGGGACAGCGCCGGCAACCTCCTTCTCCTCTTCCAACCTTCCGGGCGCTATTGCTGTGCGGGGGCATCCCGCTAACAGGGTACCCGCGGGGTGGGGAGGGGAGCCGGGCCGGGCCGGCTGTAGCTCGCCGC